AGTAATATGCATAAACTTTAATTTTGAGTACATTTTTACTTAAAATTAGGGATGCACCGATATAACCAAAAACTCTTTAGATTTGGAGGCCGATAAACAATTAAATGAAAAAGTTTAAACTGATCTTATGAACTGAATAGCCTAAATAGCAAAAGAAAAAAAAAGTATAATTTCACAACTGCAATGTGATTATACACCTTCATTCATTCATAAATTTTCTTTATGGCTTAGTCCCTTTATTAATCCGGTGTCGCCACAGCGGAATGAACTTACCTAACACATTTTTAGGCAGGGAATGCCCTTCCAGCTGCAATCCATCTCTGGGGAACGACCATACACACTCATACACTACGGACAATTTAGCTTATCCAATTCAGCTGTACCGCATGTCTTTGGACTTGTGGGGGAAACCGGAGCAACCAGAGCAAACCCATGCGAACGCAGGGAGAACGTGCAAACTACAGCGACCTTCTTGCTGTGAGGCGACAGCACTACCTACTGCGCCACTGCGTCACCCATTATGTAGACCTTTATTCATGATTTTCCATAACTTTTCTTCTCATAGCAAATTAACATGCAACTTGACTGTTGCATAAAAATAATAGGTTAAATAACAAAATGGGATTTAATTAACAAAGTTAAATAAATACATTTTAAGTCAAATAAAAATGAAGGAACCAAGAACTGAAACCAGCTCAAATGTTCTTGAATAAAATGTTTTACAGTAATGAACTTATTACAAATATGAAATTTCTATGTAAATAAAACTCATCAAAAATATGTAAATAGAGAGGTGTTTTGACAGTTCAGAGCCACCGTACAAGTGAAAAGCTAAATACAGACCTTCAGAAAATGTGGCATAAACTTTAGAAAATGCTGCATTAATTTGTGCCATTTGGCATTTTAGAGTCTTTTGAGAACATGTAGGTGCTGCTTGTCAATCAGACAAGCTTCTGTGTTCGTTCTTGCTGTCAGTTGTAAGTAAAGGTTTATGATAAACTTATGATAACTGCAGGCACTGTGTGAAGCGTGAACATGAAGCCGAGTCCGATTTTAAAACAACACCTAAGCATTGAGCACAAATGACTTAATGACAAACACAGTGCATAATTTAAAGACAGAATGTCGTGGACAGTTAAAAAACTATATGCTAGATTCAGTGGCACACTTTCCTCTGTTGCTGTTTGGGGTGCTGTGAATGCTCTGTCACCTCTCTATTTGTGTGCATGGTAATAGTCATCATGTGCACTTGTTATAATTATTATAAATATGCCGATTAGACTGAAAACAATCTTATATCAGCAACACATGGCAAGCAACGCATTGATAATAACAAATAATCATATTTGATTACAAACAATCAAACAAGTTGTCATGTGCATTGCTGCTATTATGTTTACACATTGTTTATTTTTTTCCTTAGGCGGTTTAAACCAAAATACATAATGACACTCTATCAAACATATCTACAATGATCAGGAATAAGGTTACTTATTAAGTTCTTAAGGCCCAGCAATAGCACACAAAGAAAGGACGGACTTTGAAAGAATAAACAATGTGTGGAAAGCTCCATAGTGCACTGGAGAAGTCTGAACAACTGTAACCTATGCATGCATAAGGCAGGCAGTTCTGTACAATTACGTAATCTATCGGCTTAAAAATATTGGCCTAATTTTGATATTAGATCGATAACAATAACATCCCAACTCAAAACAGTAAAACAATTTAAATAGCTCCTATTATATACTAAAAAGAGTCATGAATTGTTTAGTGAATCAATTGCTCCCAAAGCCCTCCTTGGGTAGAAGCTAATCTGTGCTGATTGGACCGATGACAGTCTGTTGCGATTAGTCAACAGCATTCAGGGGCGAGACAGAGTGAAATGCCCAGCACGGCTTATCAACAATATTGCGTCCAAAGGTTGATCACATGACAAATAAGTCATAAATGGAATACTATGAGAAGGAGGAAATAATAATTCAATGTTTACCTGCTCTTTTGTCTATGAAGGTATTGTTGTCTCTTTGCTCAGCTCACCTCTTCAAGTATTCAAATGTCAGTGGTTAGTTCACATTACACTGACAGTCACATATAATCTCAACCAATGCACACAGTCTGAGTCGATAGGAGCCGTGATAATTAGTTCATTCTTCAAGTCTTCTGATTCTTGAGAATGACTCCAACCCGAGAAGTCGAGAGATGAACGGTTAAATTTTTTTTTTCAGCTCTAAACGCATATGATTGGCTTCTGCCTTTCCGTGATAAACGAGTTCCCGAGTCATATTGAAGATTCGTTCAAAATGAATGAAATGTTCATGAACGACCCATCACTAGAGCATACCTGCCAACACTCCTGTTTTTTTCTGGGAGAGACCTGTAGCCACCCACCCACTTTGTTATTTATCCTGGAAAACTCCCGTAATTTCAACATGAAATTACCCTTAACATGAGTGACAAATGATCAACTGCTATATAATATATCACAGTTACAAGAAACAAAACTAAATTAAATGCATAATTTGCAAATTAGAGAAAACAAGGAGGCAGCCATTTTAATCAAACTTACTTACACTTGTAAAATGGAGAAAGAAACTGATCTATGATCTACTGAACCATGTACTGATAAAGTTCATGTCGAGCTCTGACAAGTCCCTTACATCAATAATCTTTTCTGATCCTTCCTTTTACAAACGGCCGACGAATCCCCAGTTGTAAGCGTGTAGATTCCGTAGCACTCGAACAGCATAATTCTGGGCTATAATGGTGAGGTATATTTGCAAAAATAAACCTCAACAACTGACTCTTTACAGTTTCATTTTTGGGTAGAGAAGATAACACTAACTTTCCCTCACACTTCCAATAATATGCTGATGAGCACAGCATCTTCATGACTTGTCTTCCTCTTTTTCTTTGCTACTGTGTTTGTGGGCGGGGCCGCAGTTTTCAACTTTCCCAGGTTTGCGCAATTAGGCATCACGCTGAAATGGCTAAAGACTCGTTATCAAGACGATTCATTTGAAACACCAAGAGCCGACTCTTTTAAAAATGAATCAATCGTTTTTAACAATTTTCAGATTTAAGCCTTAGCTGGATATTTCACTTCACTTAGAGCTGTGTTACACACCACACGGAGGGTAATTCTCAAAAACCCATGATAAGGGGTCTTTAATGTCAAAGCTTAATGCTTTATAACACAGAGCTTTCAATAAGCAAAGTACAAAACTTTAACAAATGTAATAATTAACTTAAATTAAGAACATGGTAGCAGTTTCTTAAGACAAAAGTGACATATGGCTCCATTTTGGTAAGGAAAGGCTCACACAACATTCTTACATCCGGTTAGTTGGTATGTACAAAATAACAGGAATAAATTAATGATTACATAAATGTAAAACCACTAAATGTGTGATCATCAAAACAGTTGCATAAATACAATATCACACTTATACCTCTGTGATATGGCTCCAAATCAAGAATGAATCATACAAACACCAATCAAACCTTTGACATACAATGTTAAAAAAATAAAACCATTTATGTATCATTCAATCAACAATTCAACATGTAGAACAGTCATACAAAGTTTCCTGTAAAACAGCTAAACTGACATCTGCAATAAGTAATGAGCTAAAAATCATTATAATTTGCCATCCATGGGAATTTGAATCAAACCACGAACCTCTCGCTCGCATGTTTCTATATGATAAGAGAGACAAATGAGCATGGTGTGATCATGTGAAGAATGTCAACATGTGTATTTGTCCTTCGCGGCGATTACAGATGTAATGTGAAGTGCTGACAGCTGTGGCCAATGTGCAGCGAGTGTTCAAACCCAGCAGAAACCCAATCTCTCTGTGAAATGGCCATTGGATTAGGAACGTTTGATAAGCCTCACATACATTTCTATTTTGCTTAAGAGGATGTGGGAAAAAAAACATTTAAGTGGACCCTGGATGACCACCGAACTGTAGAAATGAGAAAATACCAATTTTCATGAATTTTTCAGTATATTATTCATTTGATGTACTGCAGGAGGTAAGTTTGAGTTACACTGGTGCCTAGCTTGCTGGTTTGGGGAATACTTTTTAAATGTTAAATTTTAAATCAGACAGATAGACAAACAGGCAGACAAACAGACAGTAAAACAGACAGACGGACAGAGAGAGAAAGAGATAGATAGATAGATAGATGGATGGATGGATGGATGGATGGATGGATGGATGGATGGACGGACGGACGGACGGACGGACGGACGGACGGACGGACGGACGGACGGATGGAATGACGGATGGATGCGGACAGACAGATAGATAGATAGGTAAACAGACAGACAGAGAAACAGATAGATAAATAGACAGACATACAGACGGACAGATAGATAGATAGATAGATAGATAGATAGACAGACAGACAGACAGACAGACAGACAGACACAGACAGACAGACAGACAGGCAGACAGACAGGCAGACTAGCAGGCAGACAGACAGACAGACAGACAGACAGATAGACAGATAGATAGATAGATAGATAGATAGATAGATAGATAGATAGATAGATAGATAGATAGATAGATGATAGATAGATAGATAGATAGATAGATAGATAGATAGATAGATAGAGACAGACAAATAGATATACATAGATATACTTAGAGACAGACAGATAGATAGATAGATAGATAGATAGATAGATAGATAGATAGATAGATAGATAGATAGATAGATAGATAGATAGATAGATAGATAGATAGACAGATAGTTTTGATAGTTTTGATTGATTGATTGATTGATTGATTGATTGATTGATTGATTGATTGATTGATTGATTGATTGATTGATTGATTGATTGATTGATTAGCCAGTTCTTCATGCTGTTAGCTGATGGCAGATTACATGAGTACATGACTGCACACAGTGCCACTATCCAGCAATTTTAGACAGAGTAAAAGGGGAGGAGAAACGCCTGATCCAGACTGACCCTGCCAAACCCCAAAACCTTAAATGTGCTCAAAAGACCACAGGACCAGCTCTGAGGAACACACGACTTCATCTACACCACCAATTCGCATTCAATAGATACGTAGCGACTTAAAATATTGGCCTTTTTCTATCCTTGCTTTCCAGAGATATGAATAGAACACAGCACCTGTTGCTTTGAACTACACCTCCGGACGCTTTATATCACAAACTACCACACTGCGGAGCTGAAGTGATGTCCACGGGTTCAGTAAGTGATCCCGAAGACCTGCAATCCATCTCTCACTGTCTCGACGACTCTGAAGACGACTTTAGTCTGGATGATGGTCTGAAGCCAAAGCCAAAGAGTAAAACTCCTCGAGGCGCTGCCAGCAACACCAACAAGCCCCAAATGAAGCTGGCGAAAGACGGCAGACAGTCTCAGAGGAATGCAGCTAATGCCAGAGAAAGAGCGCGTATGAGGGTCCTGAGCAAAGCCTTCTCGCGGCTGAAGACCAGTCTACCATGGGTCCCTGCAGACACCAAACTATCCAAGTTGGACACACTGCGTCTGGCCTCCAGCTACATCTCACACCTCCGACAACTCCTGCAGGATGACACGTATCACAACAACCTCGCACACCCTGCCAACCTGGTATGAGTGAGTGTTAGCACTGCATTTATGCACCTACATCTGCTCCACAAGTGCTGTTGTTTAGTAATAATTGTGTAAAATGCACTAACTGGATTAAGAATATAATGTACTAGTTTGGAGAAGTTTCTTCACTTTGCTAAGGCAGCATTTAATTGCTCAATTATACAAAAATGTAAAACTGGAATATTGTGAAACATTATTTATATTTAAAATAGATTTTTGATTGTTTTATTGTAATTTTTGATAAACATAAAATAACATGTTTTTACAGTGTAGTTTTTATTGTAATATTTTTTTTTTATTTGCTGTAAATTTGAGTTTAGTTTTAGTTTGTTCTATTAATGGTTTTGTTAATTTTATTTAAGTTTTTTTTTATAACATTTTCACATATATTTAATTTCAGCTTTAGTTTTTGTAAATCTATCTCTGTTTAACAGAGATAATAGAACATGTCCAGTGTCAACTAAAGCTAAATGTTTATGTTGGCACAGCTTTAACTTTAACTTAACTTTAACTTTTGTGCAAATCTCTTAGCAATCAAACTAAAGTAATTGTTTGAACCGAAGACTACACAAATGCATGCAACTTAAATGAAGAAAAGTTCTTTTTTTTTGTTTTGAACTATTGAAACAAACTTTTTTTTTTTTTAACTATTTAAACAAACTTTTTTATGTAAAAATAATGTATGGATAACCATGACTAGTTAACTTTTTTGCAAATTAGGAATATGTGCATGACTGTAAATTTTACATTGCATTGACAAATATTTCTCTAAACAAACACAGGTATTATTATTTTTTTGCCATAAAATGAGTGTTTAATAATTCTGAAGACAATTATTATTCTTGCTAATTATTTACTATAGCCTCAGTTTTCATTCTTTGTGTTTATTGTAACATTTTATTTCAGTTCTGTTTTTGTTGGACAACAGTTTTCATTTATAATCTTGAGTGTCGCATAATCACACATGATAATACTGCATGCTGATTTGCTGTTCTGTTATGATTATAAATATTGATGCTCAGTCTATAATATTGTTCCTTATAACGTGGACATTGTGAAACATTTGACTTTTTAGGATTATTTAATGAAAATAAATTAGACCATAAACACCATACATACTCTTGAAAGGTACTGTATACAGATTCAGTAAAAAGCCTAACAGTTTTCAACACTAATAATAGTAATATAGCAGATCCTTGGGATTATGTGACTATGAAGACTGTAGCAGTGACGTTGAAAATTATGCCTTCAATCACAGGAATAAATTACATTTTGCATACAGTAAGAAAATGTAAATTAATTACATTTAACAGCTTAGCTTAAACTTGTTTGTTCGTTCGTTTGTTCATTTGTTCGTTTGTTCGTTCGTTCGTTCGTTCGTTCGTTCGTTCGTTCATTCATTCATTCATTCATTCATTTAGTCAATTCAATCAATTCAATCAATCAAATGCAACCTTGGTGACTAGGTTTTTTATGTTTACTGATCCCATACTGATCAGTACTATACAACTATTATTTAATAAATAAATATTTACACTACTGGTCAAAAGTTTTAGAATACAATTATACAAGTTATTGCCTATATGGTTTGTTCTGTAGATTATCAAAAAAATATATAGCTCAAAGGGCTAATCATTTTGTCCTTAAAATAGTCTTAAAAAACTGCTTTATTTTAGCCGAAAATAAAACAAATAAGACTTTCTACAAAAGAAAAAATATTATATTATCATACATACTGTGATTACTATATATATATATATATATATATATATATATATATATATATATATATATATATATATATATATATATATATATATATATATATACACAAACACACAAAAGCATCAAAATGGCTACAACTGTAAAATTAGGATGAAAACAACTATTATCTATTCTACAGCACTAAAACAACCCTAATGTGCTCACATCCAGTAATTAATTATGCTGTAAATATAAAAAATATATAATAAATATTGAAATACAGTTGAAGTCAGAATTATTAGCCTGCCTTTGATTTTTTTTCCTTTTTTTAAATATTTCTCAAACAATGTCAAACAGAGCAAGGAAATTTTCACAGTATGTCTGATATTACAGCTTTTAATTTTTTTTAAAGCCATTTTGAGGACAAAATTATTAGCCCCTTTAAGCTATATATTTTTTTTAAGGTCTACAGAACAAACATATACAATAACTTGCCTAACTACCCTAATCTACCTAGTTAACTTAATTAATCTATAAGCCTTTACATGTCACTTTAAGCTGTACAAAAGCGTCTTGAAAAATGTGTAGTAAAATATTATTTACTGTCATCATGGCAAAGACAAAATAAATCAGTTATTAGAGATTAGGTATTCAAACTAATATGTTTAAAAACATTGTTGAAACAGTGTTTAAACAGTGTTGAAAAAATCTTCTCTCCATTAAACAGAAATTGAGGAAAAAATAAACAGGGTGGCTAATAATTGGGGGGTAATACTGTCTTCAACTGTATATGAATATTAACATTCAAAATCAGGTACAGTACCCTGATCACTCCATGTGTTCACATCTTACACATTTAACCGGCAATGTGTGGCTCTTTTTTAACTCTTTTTCACAGACCTGGCCTTTTGTGGTCTCAGCACGATCAGAGGACACCAAAGACATTTCTGCAGCGGTCAGACTTTGTGGAGCTACAGCATAAACATCTGGCACCTCTCTGTCTTTTATCCCTCTCTCTCTCTTTTACTGTCTGTACTCATGCACTTCCTTTGAACTTACATCACTGAACATTATGCAATGAATACAACTGCATGTGGAACGCAAGCAGTTCAGCAGTCATTGCATACAAATCTGTCTTTATAGCCAGATGATATTAAAGTAATTTCTACCTTTTTATATTTGTTTTGGCTTAAAAGCAACCTCTAAAAAACAAACTAAACGTCTACGGGAAGCAAAGGAAATCAGTTTTGTTTCTAAGGCTATTGTAAGTCTTTGACTGTAGGTTTTTTTTTTTCCTGTTTATAGTTTATTTTTTATTATTTACATTATTACAGATGGAAAAAGAGATCACAGATGAACATTTTTGTCCATATATTATTTTTACTCGAAGGTATGCTTATTTATGATTGTGATATTTCTGGTTTGTTGTATTGTTTGTATGTTTCACCAAATTTATTGTCTACATCACTTCAACACACTGTAAAATTTAATATGTTGATTTATTGTGAACTTCCACGAGAAACTGAACTAAAGTTGTCTTTTTTTCTCTATGAACTATGTATGCGACTAAACGAGAATTCTGGGATTGCACATGAGAATTGTTGGATGGAAGTGGTTTGCTATAGGTTGATGCCCATTTAAGTGTTGTCCCACCCTCAATTCAATGTTAGCAAAAATGAGATGAGATGTTGTTGCAAGAATATGGAAGGCCATCGGTGCCAAAAGTATTTCATGGAAGGCAGTTATTATGGAATGTGATTAAACACCTCATGTTTGTAAATATGTTGTAAAAAGAAAAATCTGTAAATTTACCGTATTGATTTATTTATGCATTGAAACTGCTATCATCTTACATTCAGAGAAGTAGTTTATCCTCAAACATCTACATCACACTTCAACTAAAGTTTAAAACAGGCGCGACCAACCCTGTTCCTAGAGAGATCCACCTTCTGGGAGATTTCAGTTGCAACCCATATCAAACACACCTGTAATTATCAAGTGCTGCCTGTAATTATCAAGTGCTGTTAAGGTTCGAATTCATTGGTTCAGGTGTGTTTGATCAGGGTTGGAGCTGAACTTTGCAGGAAGGTTGATCTCCACTGGTTTAAAATATGATATCATAGTATACTTCAAGGATTTTGGCCCCAATCACTTTCCATAAGAGTAAAATAAAGTTTTTTTTTATTTTATTTTTTTATTAAAGATTAAAACAAAAGGCACATACATTTTTAGTAAATAACAGTGTGTGTGGATATTTATTATAAATACTTTTATTTAATTTATTTTTTTGGTTTTCGTAAAGACTCATTATATCTGTGCTACTAACATTGCAACGATAATTACAAAAATAATAACTAAATGTCCTAATCATTTAAACCATTTTAATTACCCTCACATTCATACATTACACTTTACTGATCTTTGCAATATTTTAATATTTTATATGGAACATAATGTGTGGTAAAAAGCCTTCCTTACCAACAAAGTTCAGCTTGCCTGTCAAGAAGAATCAAACTCCAATAGTGAAACCCTAACAATGCATTAAACTTTCATACCCAGTAAAAGAATTGCCAAAGATGATTCTTATTGCAGCTTGTTTATTTTGGTTAGTACTTCTGCAAGCCAATCAAATTTTTCTGTTTTCCTATGTAATGCATCAACCATTGTCCTTCACAGGCATAAATCAATTGTATGTTCCTGCACAACTGGAGAGGCTTAAACGCATTTCTGGAACCTCATTTCTAGAACCCTAGATTTACTCCTATTGTTCTTAATATGTCCAGTAGAGAGTGAAAGATATCAATAATATATTAGAAGTGAACACTTATTTCACAAAAGAACACTTATTTTCCACATTTATATTTAACTGTGTGTTTTGACATTCAGAGTTTGCTATGTTTTCTGTTAGGGTTGAGTTTAATGCTGTGTTCACAACAGACATAGAAGAAGCGTCAAGTGCGAGTGATATACATGGTAAGCAGGGGCGTAAATCTGATTTAACAGTAGGGGGGGACAATAACTATAAAATTTCTTTCGAGCATTTTTTTGAAGGGGACACAAATTATACAGCCGAACTGTACTATTAAAGATATGTCCACACAGTTAAAAATGGTTTCATCATTATTATTATTATTATAGCATGGAGACTACGTCATTATGATTATTTTCAAAGTTTTTCTCAGGTTCAATGACAAAGCAATTTTTTTTTCAAGACTATTTATTGCATTGTTTGTTGTGTTGTTTACAGTCAACTGATTGACTCCTGAAGCAGAATAAATGCAGGAAAAGACATTTTCCATACTCTTTATAACTAACTTTAAAAATGTTAAAATTACAGATCATGTTGTAAATCAGTGAGCCAGTGAAATCTGCTAAATGGCCACAACTCCAAAATCATTTAAAAAATTGCTCACCCCAAAAGAATTGTCATTATCCCTTCAATAAAGCACAACACCCTTACCTGATACTGTACATCTGACTGACCCTGCTCAATCGTTACTTTCTCCTTTGCCTGTGATTGATAATGTTACATTAGTATTTTCATAAGCACTCATTCTGAAAGCCAAATTGCTTAATTTGTGAACTTTTTGTACTTGGCGTTTAGCTGCACTGAAAAATTATCTTATGTCTATTTTTTCTGTCTTTTTTTCTGTATTTTTTTCTGTCTTTTTTTTCTGTATTTTATCCAATACATGACACTGCCAGGCACATTTATTTATACTGTAGCACATTTTATACACAATGGCAATTCAAAGTGCTTTACATAAAGAGTGCAAAACTATCATAAAAATAATCAACAAATAAAACATAAACAATATAAACATAAACAATAAAAACAAATAATTAAAAAAAGGTTAACATTTTAATTTCAAATTAATTGAGTCACTTAAAATAGAATAGAAACGGATTATACAAAAATACAGTGGGGTTAGTGTGCTTAGTGTAGCACAGTGCTCATTTAGTAAATACACAACTAAAATTATGCTAATTGTGGTCGTTAATGTTAAGTTAACATTATGCCAAGTCGTCACAAATGAAACATGCATAGGAAACGGCTTTAGCGTTAGCAACAAGCTAACATTGATTAATTACATGGGTAAAAATCAATTTTTACCTCAACTAATTTATGAACGAGTCTGTATTAACTACATCGAGGAGAATCGCTTTATTTAAGGTGAATAAAATCTGCAGCAGCAGCCACACACCTGCCGTGTATGTGTCTGTGTGAGTAGCCGAATAAGGGAAAGCATTCAGTGGACCGAACCACTCTGAGGTAGGGGAGGGGGAACTCAACTGTTTCTAAATGCATTTTAAATGATAAATGCGGTTTCCTTTCTACTTGGAGAAATATTTTAGCTATATATACATTTATTTTTACAATTGAGAGTTTTTTTTTTTTTTTTTTTTTACGCCCATGGTGGTAAGTTAATGCAAAGACATGGATAGACATTCTGCGGCGCAATACGCGGGAACGGCGTGGTGTGAATGACACGAATTGCATGAATGGCATGGTGTGAATTGAGCATTTTGCGCGTTTGACACGCTTAACGCGCGAACCGCTCTGAATCTGAACTTCAGCCGACATTCGCGGCCTGTTAACCAATCAGGAGCTTGCTTTTGTGGGGGCATGATTGTGACGTAGTGCTTGTTGTTGGTGTGCCAAGGGAAAATCCCTCTGCACACACTAACAACAGTTCATCAAACTGGGCTCAGCGCAGTCAGAAGCACCGCTGAACGCTTCCATCATCCAGTTTAAGTTTCTGGCGAAGTCAACTCACAGAGCTGGGTACACCTCTGAAAGGATCTATTGAACTTAGACTTTGCTCCAAACGAATCAACGCTGTTTTTCAGCCTTCATAAAGCACAAAAACAGTTATTCTCTCAATAAAATCCATGTTAGCCATTTAGCAACAAAGCTGGGTCACTGGGCAGACAGAAGCCCTGCGCATCAGGCGAATCTGCGTGAATTTGACGCACGAATAAAGCAGATTTGACACGCGAATGAAGCAAATTTTTATGCGCGAATGAAGCAAGTAAACTCAAATGTTCACGCATCTATTTACACGCAAATATCACAATTTATCTGCATGTTACGTCTGGTGTGAACATAGCATAAGGATAGGGTTGTATAATAAGAGATCCTGGAAATGCGGCCCTAGAAATTTGGTCCCTGCAACTGCAGGCTCTCTGCCCTGACTCAGCCTGCCTGCTACAGAAGCCACACCCAAAACTTTCACTATTGGTTGATACAGAAGTAATTGACCACTCTCAGCAAAAGTTTGCATACTGTAGAATTACACCCTTTTATTGAAATTTTGCCAGAAAATTACCAGAATGATTTTAATGGTCAAATAAAATAAAATTTGATATTCACACAAAGTACATCAGAGTTTTGGTACTTTACTGGTAATATAAACATTTACCCCACCATCCCCCAACCCCGGTTCTTAGCGATCTACTCCCTGATCCCTGATTAAAAATATATATATATTTTAAGCACTTTGGACATTCTTTTACATGACAACAGCTTTTTGGTTGCCTGAAAACACAAAGTTTTGAAAATGATACATTTAACTTGTATTTAAAAAAAAAACAAAAAAAAACATACACTTACACATCTGAAGTATGTCAATGGTCATGAGTACTTGACTACTTAGGAGCCAATCCTACTGAACGCACTTTTTGCATTAATATGTTTATTTTTTAAACGTTAACTAACGGCCACAAGTGTTTTGTGTTCTGCTTATGAACCCTTTGCACCTTGCTTTTTGTCGTTGTGTGCTGTGTGCTCGCAGTTAAAAAAAATTTGAGTGCAAAAAGCGTGTTACTTAAGTTGCGTTTTTTCCATTCTCCAATCAAATAAAAGTAGAGGCGAGGTTTTTGTTAAGGGGACAGTTTTTATTTTGTCAGGGCGACTACGGAGACTTGTAAAGATAGAGGATATACTAGTGGCCGCTGTTTCAAGTTATCCAGAGCTGTATGACTTTACAAATATTCAATATCACAGCAACACTCATGCACAATACGCAGCACATACAGTTAAAGTCAGAATTATTAGTCCCCCTGAATTATTAGCCCGGGTGTTTATTTTTTTTCCCCAATTTCTGTTTAACGGAGACATTAGCCCCTTTCACACAGTGATACCGGTAAATATCTGGAAAATTTCCGGAACGACTTTACCGGCATATTCAAAAATGCGCTGTTCACACAGGCGAGGACGTTACGGAAATTTTCCGGAAAAGAGCATTCACACATCCATTCCAGAATACCAGTAAATTCTGACATCATTCACCACAAATGAGCTTTAAACAGCTGCGCTTGTATTTGTAAACTTTTGACTAAATTACAAACTCTGTGGATGATCAATATTGTTAACAACTTTCGCAGGATCACTTTCCCATGTCGAGATGTTCATAATATGTGCGTGTTCAGGCGCTCACAGGCTGTTTCACAGGCACACGCAAAGCTTGAAGGTAAACAAACAACAGCTTATCATAAGCATCTCATCGATGATTATTTACACAGTTGGCATTAAGAAGAACATATAAACGTTATCTGACTAACTTCTAGCAGCTAAATGTGTCTGGAAAATATTCAAAGGCTTTTATTCTCATAAACCGCGCGGACGTAAATGCGTCTGACTGTTGTGATTGGCTAAAGCAGACGTCTCACGTCAGCACGTTCTAGACGTCCACGCGCTTATTACGGCAATCTTCCTTCTGCATTCACACAGCGAAGCATTCCGGCAAATTGCCGGTAATTTTACAACTTCTCTTTCCG